AGAAATATGCTAACTCTACCTAACACAGGGGTATCACTGGATGAGGTGCTCCATATGTAAAAGATAAGAAATTAGCCTATTTGTATAAGAAATAAAGATTTTGTTGCATCTTTTAGCAAGATATTATTGCTTTTGAACCAATGTTATAGTAACTAAAGCAATAATTATCATTTTTTTAAATCACCAGTTAGTAGCTGGGTATCTTCATAAGGACTTCACATCCCTAATTAGTATCTTTTTGTCTGTGCTAAGCCTTTCTACTCCCACTTCTTGATTCCTCCCCCAAGTTCTCCCTATGACACTCCCAAAATACACCTCTTCTTGGAAGATTTGGTCTTCCCTCTACTTTGATCTTGCTCCTCCAACTAGGACTCAGGCTATGGAAATATGTGGCCACATTCCAGTCCATGAACATTTTTAATAGTTTTAAAAATTGAAACTAAAGGAAAACAAGTGCCTTGCTCTCAAAAAGATCTTACAGAGACAAAGAGTTTATGAAGAATAATTTCAAAGAAAATGGAGAGTGCAGAAGCAAGGGACATTATTTCAGGTTCAAGGTCCTGCTGTCACTTAAATCAGAGCAAACTCTGATGTTGAAACTGCAATTTGCTTATGGAAAGTGAAATTCTATTAATTACAAGAAAACTATCCTTCTAATTAATGAAGCATATATTATGACATTTAGTCCTCCCAACAACTATGTATAGTAGGTGTTATCTTAACTTTCTAGATAAGAAACCAGAAGCTCAGAACAAAAAAATCATGTCCAAGATACCCAACTCAAAGATGGGCCATTCAGGGGCCAACATACAATCACTGGACTTCCTGTCTCTTTATACACAGTGCTTGGGGCATTCTCAACCTTGATTTGAGCTCAGTGACCTGAGATAATATGCAGAAAGTGCAACTCCTCACCCCTTCAATAAACATAGATGCCATTTATCCTGATTAGCTCCTGGGGTGTTACAGACATCAATTAAAATAACCTTGATAAAGTGGTCTGAGAATATAGCTATGCATTGTTTTTTAGACACACTATTAAATATTTGCCTCCTGTAATGTCAATAATTGGGAAGCAGAAAAAGTGTTTTTAAAAATGTAATCTACAAAAAACACTGTGTATAAATATTTGGTATCACTAATTTAATTAAATATTAATGTTTGGTTTATGTACCAAAATATAATTGTTACTTCAGAAGTGAATTTCCTCAAAACACCTTAAGTTAAACCAAAAGAAAAACTATTTATAGAAAATTGGATATTTCTACTTTTTTATGTGCTACCCACCCCCCCTTTTTTATTTTCAATCAGATTTTTAAATGAGGACTTCCTAGTGTTAGCACTTGTTTACAACTGAAAGTGACCACAATCTTTCAGGTCAATTACTAACACAAGTCTGAGAAGCACCATGGACACAGGATGGAGGAAAATCAACACATAGAAAACAACAGGAATGGGATTTGCATGTGAAACCAAATTTCTTCAGAAAAAAAATTAGGCATCTCCTTCAACATCAGGGTGCACTCAGATTTGTTTTTCATATTAGAACTTATTTAATATGGCATTGGGCAAAAGGCAATCTATTAAAAAGCAATTTTCCTCTGACCACAGGATGTTTCATCATATGATGTCTAGCACTCAATCATAAGATAGTAATCCTTTAATACTTCATGAACAGAAAACAGCTCATTTGGGCATGCAGACTCAAAAAAAGTGTGAATCTCTCGTAAGCCTTGCAAAATATCCAGAATATGGCTCTTCCAAATGGCACAAGTTAATATGGCTCTTCCAGGTGGCACAACAAGTTGAAGTGCAGCACTGTGAAGCTAGCCCCAGCGCTTTAGCCAAGTTTCAGCTGAGTTCAAACCCAGGCCAAGAAAGTGATGTACATGGAACTGCAGACCTCTCCCATCAGGCCCACTGCTCCCCTCAGCAATATACTTCATTGACCTGCCTGTTCTGCTCCCCACTCCATCTCTGGTGAACCCTCTCACTGCCCTTGCACCTAGGGCCTATACTCCATTTCTGTATGCATAAATGAAATCTTTAAAAAATATAAAATAAAAATATCCAGAATGGTCTCTTCAGAAATGACAAGCAACAGGTTCAAATGAAAGCTTATATTATGAAGAACATTTAGGAAATGTTTTAGAACAGATTATATATATATATATATATATTTACACACATATCTATATGTATATATATGTATGTACGTACACTGACCTCTGTCTCTGAAATGTTCACCATAGGTCATTTCAAATACTCAATAGGTTTATTGAATAAATGAATAAATTTATGTTTGTCATCTTACACACACTGGGCCCTAACTATCCATGCTCAACCTCACTGCAGAGACCAGGCCTGACCAAGTACTAACACAGTTGTATCAGAATACTGTATGTTAAATAACATACAGTGTAAAAATAGCCCCTATCTTAATCTCCACTCTGTTATTTGAGTCTATAGGAATGAGGTTCTGTTCTAGTACCTGGTTGACTACCAGATCCTCAATTGTCCAGGAAAGATGATATACACAAGAGACTAACATTTACTCTATACTCCTCCCCTCCACTAAAACACAGAATTGATATTCACTAGAGAGGCACTGTCTTTCCAGACTCCCACCAACAAGACTCCTCCACCCACACAATGGAGCCACATTTAACTTGCTCACACACGACTGGAATTTGGTGATCTTTTCCAAGTTAGTGCCCCCAGGTTGAATATTATCTTTTCCAAAGGGACTTCTCTCACCACTACCATTGCAACTGCAGTCTCTGAGGTTACCTGCAATCAAGTCAAATGAACACAACTACTCAGATAATCATGTAAAATGCCACCAATCAATTTCTGATAAAAACTGGAGGATGTAAGTAAGAGCGCAATGGCATGTGTAAGTTACCCAAAGACATGACAATCATAATTGGCAAAGATAAGAAAGAACCCAGTCCCCTTTCATTTCCAACATTCTCCTTTATCTCTGTCAGAACCATATCTGTGATGGCTTGACTTTCAGCTGGCTGGACATATGTCTCTTGAGCAAAGGAGAAGAGCAGGGATGTGGGAATGGCAGTCATTGCAGAAAAGAATATACCTTTTTTTTTTTGTCTGTTTGTTTGCCATCAACATTAAGAACTGGTAGCCAGAAGAACACAAAAACATTAACTCAAAAGGACATCTGCAGCCCTATGCATCCTGCAGCACAATTTAAAATAGGTAAGCTATGGAAGCAACACAGATGCCCAAAAATAGATGACTGGGTCAAGAAGATGTGGTATTTTACACAGTGGAATACTACTCAGCTGCTAAAAGGGATAAACTCATGTCCTTCATAGTAGTAACATGGATGGGGCTGGCAATATACTGAAACAAAAAAGGAACTGGGGGAAAAAAATAACTATAATAAAATCAAAATCATCAGGGACCATGGTGATGGTGCACAGCTAACTTGATGATGGGAATTTCACAGGGAAACCAAAGGATGATTTAATGAATGTGTATTTTAAGAAATAAATGCTGTAGCTGGAATTGCTGAAATTGGGGGGAAAAAAAAAAAGAACTGGTAGCCAAAATCTGTATAGGGAAATTGGAAATGGCCAAGAAAGCAAGGAAAAGGCAATTTGGAGCAGTAAGATGTACACAAGAAAAAACAATCAAATAAAGCATGATTGTTTTCCAGTTTCTGAAAATCTTACATCATTTTGCAATGATTTTTAACAAATGACTTGTTTGTTAAAAACAAGGAGAGCTGTTACCCATAAAAGTGAGGTAAACATGATATTTGCAGCAGTTATCAGAATGAGAAATGCAATAGGACTTATTTGATTCAAGTCTTCAATCCTTCAGCTGAAATATATCAGCTATATAGCAGACAGAAGTCGCAAGAAGTTAGTCTAATGAATAGTGGGGTTGTATGACTCAGGTCTAGGGCCCAGGAAAACTGAAATGTAATTGTTGCTGGTGACCAGCAAATTACAGTAGATTGACATAGAAATTGCTCAGATGAGACTGCTACTCTTCTAATACAGAAATGTCCTAATGTAGGCTCATAAATAATGAACAGTTCCCCATCAATTTCAGGTTCTTTCTTTAGCCCTCTATACTTTCCACTGTGCTTACTCAAACAGCTGAAATTTTTAGTATTTTTCTCACCAAGGTCCAATTCTAGTTTGTCATAGCAGTCACTTCTATATTGCACATAAATCATAACTTAGTTTCCAATTTACATAATCAGATTCCTTCTCATTAATAATTTCATACCATAATTGTAAGCTTTCAAGCAGTTAACTAAATATTTATGTTTTCACAATAGTACCAAATGCCAGACATCTTTCTGATATGAAGTATTCTCAAGTAGCCAAGTATTAAACATATGAGGAAAGATTTAACTGTACATTGGAGTGAAAGGCATGGAAAAAATGGAATCCAGAGTTTTAAGGAGGTTCAACACCAGTCGTAATTGTGAGGACAGATTAAATTAGATTCTCCACAATAGGTTAAAGTCAAATAAAGCTAATGAACAAAATTTCAATGTCTTCTTAGAAAAAACAATCTAAACAAGTGAGACACAAGGAGCAAGAGGATTTCAATGTTATTCACTTTTTCTTGATACAGAAAGATTATTTCGAAAGAAAGACAAGAATATGATCTACAGTTAGATTTTAAATAGGAATTGAAAAATAAAACAATCTTTTGATCCTTCTTCTAAACAGAGCATTAAATATTAGGTAGCTTTAATATACACTCATTTTTGTAATATTTAAAATTCATTCACAATACCGGAAGATCTTTCCATTCACATAGCTTTTAGTAATGTTTACTCCCAGAGTGTACAGGCAGAAATGCACCCACTGGAAATCTGAGCAAAGAAATTCAGTCCAAAGTGATGCCCTCACATAGCTTTTGGCAACTCGAAATATTCCATATAGGTCTGAGTACAGCCATGAAAGGTGATTCTTTGGCTGGCCTCATACTAAATGGGAAGCAAGTGTACTTACGCAGCTCTCCCACTTTCAGGATCTCACACAGCATCTTGGTCAGTTCTATACTGCTGCGGCCAAAGGGACACTCATGCTTATCTTCTCTGCTACTATTCTCAAGCACAATCTGCAGGGGGGAAAGGAATGTGATAGGGAAATAAGTTGGTGAAAGACATTAAAAATGTGAGCAACACTAACAAAGAAAAAGAGAGCCACACCAGACTAAGCCCCAAGAAGGCCAAAATTGGACTATAAGTTTATATAAATATATAGGACCTAAAATTCCCTCAAGTCTATAAAAAGGTATTTTATTTGTTTTTTTCCATTTATACCAAGGTGCCTATGGAGAGTTTTCCAAACAGTACTTTTTACTTAAGTAACAAAACCACTATTGTCCTTTGTAGGAAATAGTAACTCTTCTTCTGTGACTGCAACTCCCACATTTAAATCATATATTTCCTACAGACATAGTATGTTTACAAAAGTTTTCACTCCTGACAGTGTTTAACCATGCTTAAGGGACATGTGATATAAGCCAGATGAACTAGAGGCCTTCTCTGTGACACATAACATAGAAAGGGCAAAACATGAGCTCATGAGCTATCTGAATATGAGCCTTAAAGGGTGTGGGGGGGGGAGGAAGGAGGAGTGAAGAATAGTAAGCTAAGATACCAAGGAAATGAGAGGAGAAGCAGTAGGAGCCTTGGTGCATGTGAATGGCTGGTTCTACTTTAAACAGTTAATTTCCTGTCCTGGAGGTCTGTATGCACAGATTTCCTCTGAGAATCCTCTGGCCCATCTAATCAACTTTCTTCTTATTTTAAGCTATTTTGAGGTATTCTTGCCACAACCAGAGGAGCCATTCTACTCATAGAATAAAGTGAAAACAACTTTATTTTAAAATTACCGACCTTCAAATTCACAACAACAACAAAAAAGGAATGATATTTAAGCATGCCACCTGTCTTACCAGTTTCTCCATCTCCATCCAGCTATCTTCAGCTTCCCAAGTGTAGGTGTCTGGTACCCCCCAGAAAGCTAAACTACCTTGAGTAAGTGACTCCCAGTAGCACCTACAGCAATGCAATGCTCCATCTTATGTTCTTTTTCTCAACTATGAACTTTTTAGGAGTGGTATATAATTCTCTTAAATCAGTGACAGTGAATGAGCACCTATTATTATCTACCATGATGCTTCATAGGTCCCATAAACCAAGGTTCTGACCTCATGGAACATTCTATCTAATTGAAAGAAAGATAAAAAGAAAAGGGTAATTAGAGATTACCACAAATGTCAGATAGGTAAATGATAGATAGATAGATAGATAGATAGATAGATAGATAGATAGATAGATAGATAGATAGATAGATAGACAGACAATAATAAATTACTGTGGACGTGTTAAAAAGCAATATGCAAAGCCTAGGGAGGAGAGTTTACAGGATCAGGTGACTACTGATAATCAAAAGATGAAAAAGAGCTTGGACTGGGAGTAAGAACACTCCAGGCAAACAGATCAAGGCAGAGTCCCTCCCTGAATCCAGTAAGATACATTTGGGGCAGACCAGCACATTGCCTTGTCTCTGACATGGAGGGGCTTGAAGTCTCACAAGGTTACAGTTAAGGTTCCAGGAGAAGGTTCAGACTGAGCCAAGAGACAGTAGAGATGGGCAATGTTATGGCACCAGGGCCTTGGAGGGTATAAACTCTGAGATGTTAACTGTGTGTGAGGATTAGGCAGGCAAGTAATATAACATTTTGTTGTTGTTGTTGTTCTGAAAAGATCTAGGAGTGTTGAGAACAGATAGGTAACAGGAATGAGAGAGTACAGTCCTTCATGACTACCATGAAGCAATGCAAGGAGAGATTAAGGTGGCTTATATTGAGTGCCATGTGCTGACAGGGCAATCAACACATAGGAATGACCAAAACAGGCAAGCAGAAGCAGACAAGAAACCAAGAGGACAAGGAAAGGAAGGCTTTCAGAAAGAAATGTAAAGGAAGAAACTTTTAAAGGAAAAGTAGGTAAATGTATTTTTATTAATATAGATGGTGATTCAAATAGTAATATGCAGAAGTTCATATAGGGAAATTGTCTAACCATAATGATGAATAGGAGTTTAATTGAAAAAATGTGTTCTATTTTTTTTCTGCAAAACACCTTAACAATTGTACCTATGCACTCATAGACACATACTATGTGTTGATAGTACTCCAATAAGAAATCAACTATTTCTATGTGGGTATATTTATTCCAGCATGAGATCTTTATTTAAGTATAATTATTATACACAATATAAATATTCAATCCTGTCTTCCATTTCATGACTCATCTTTAAGGTAGTTTTCATTGCCTTTAGCATTATCATTTTATCATCCTCATGAGTGTCTAAGAATTCATGAACCATCTCAATTTTGTGAAACTTTTCAACCGTTTGGTGAATATGCCCACATAAATAATTGTACATTAAATATCATCATGAATTCAGCCTTCACTGTCAGGATTTGTGATAGAGTCTCCCTTCAGGTCTCTTCAGGGTATACATGTGCAATTTTTTTGTTCCATTTGTGTTTCTCTGGAAAAGCTGAACATAAAATCCAATGAAAGCCTTTCTCCTATAAAGCAGGCAGGACAATGCTGGAACCCTTGAAATATCAGCCATTACCCAACTCTTCAGAGCTCTAGCTTGAATAACAAGAAAGGAGGAGATGTGGATATCCCTGTTCCCTTTGTTATCAGGGTTGTGCTTGGCACCCAAATTTGTTGCTGGTCAAGCTAACATGTAGAGTCAGGCAGAGGTTTCTCACCAGGACAAAAGTCTTGGTATGAGCATATCTGCTGAAAACAGTAGGCAGATATTATGGACAGATAAGCCAACCAGCTAGACTACCTTGACAGAAAGTTTAGTGTAAACAAAGACTAGAGAGAGATAGGATATTTTGATCAGCATCAACAATGAAGCACTCCAAGAAATAGCCCCTATTCACTCTCCCCTAGCTTGTGCCAGACTATTATGTGTATCCCTGATCCATATCCCCACCATACACATTCCTCCACACATTTCTTCCCATACTCACCCACCTTTCCTGGATCTGACCCATAAATAGATGTGAGACTGGCTATCTGCTGCATCTTCAGAGATGTGAAATACTCTAAGTCACTCTCACTACTTGGACTTTGAGTTATCTTTTATTCACCTTGCACCACTCTCAACAGTGTCGCCCTATGAAGCACATAGAAAGGTTTGTTTCCTTTTCATTCTCTCTTCTGTGTGATCTACCTGAATACTAACAGCCTCATTAGACTGACCCCAAATCACCCTTTTCCTTTTAGGATAACTATTTCTGGTTCTACCTAGCAATTCCAATTCAGGAAAGCAGACGAGAAGAAAAACTCAATTCTCATCAATTATTGAACCTTCATTTCTCTTTAAAAAATTTTTAATCTGGCCCTCCCTGGTGGTGCACTGGGTTAAAGCACAGCACTAAGAAGCTAAAGTCACTTTAGTGTGAGTTCAATCCCTGCCTGCCCTGGAGGTGACCACATGGCGCGGTAGACCTCTCCTGACCCATCCGCTGCTCCCCTCAGCAGTGTACTTCGTAGATCTGCCTGTTCTGCTCCCCACTCTGTTTCCGGTGAAGCCTCTCGCTGCCCCTGAGCCTCTGGCCTGTACCCCAGTTCTGTATGCACAAATAAATCTTTAAAAAAAATTTTTTTTAATCTGAGCATTTCTTTTGACTATGCAGGTAACTTTCTTTCTTTTTTCATTTTCCTAATAAGCATGTCCTTTGAAATGTTTTAAAAAAAGAAAGATAAAAAATTTTAATCTGAGATTGTCTAATCAAGGAACAAACCTGACTCTCTTGATCACAGGGAAATGAATAGACAAAAAAAAAAAAAAACAGCAAAAAGAAGACAGAACATGAAAGATAGGAGGCAGGTCATTTTCAGTTAGCTCCCAGTTCCTAGTTCCCAGGGAGGACATCCTTGCATTTCACATTAACATTCCATTAACATTTCATGAGCCATCAATATTTAATGAGGATGTGATCTGCATACAATGTAGGTAGAATTACTGCAGCCAATAAATGTTCTAGAAACATTTCCAAGACACAGTTTATTAGCAGGCACTAAATTAAGGAGTAATTTAAGTAATCAATATGTAAATCAGCTTGGAGAAACCCTTCTCTTGACTCTGTTATACACCATCCATCTTATCATATTTACCCATTTCTTCTTGACTGATTTCCTTAGATAAGGCAGACACAAATCTTTTGTTACCTATGTTGATTTTAAGGTCAGTATCCTTACAGAAAGCTTTTGAAAAAACTATGATTATGAATGTTACTAGTAAGATTTTACTATCATAAGACACAATTATTAATTATTAACTGAACAGCTGTTTTGTATTTTAAATTTAAGGCACTGGTTCAATTACAACATTCTGGTATAAACTACATTCACTGTAGGCACTTGAAAAGCTCCACTTGGAAATATCCAGCCATATTTTTCACATTAATTCTTTTCTTTACTCTTCAATTTCAAGAGCAGTAGAACAGAAACCACAATAGCTGGAGTACCAAACTGTGCTATCATCACTCACTCATCTAGAATATCAGTTACCAAAAGAAGTTGTAACTACACGTTCTATAAAACCCTGGTTAGTGTGAAATACTAAGTATATAGCATTTTATAATGTGTGTTATCATTATAGAGCAAAGTCACACATTTCCTATGAACTGACCTCCAACAAGTCCACAAGACTGATAAAGCCACAAAAGAAGAGATGTCTTATTTATCATAGAACTAGACTAGACAGTCATAGAATTCACTTTTTAAGGTCTACAATTTCAAGTTTCTTCCTGCCCCAGAACAGTTCACAAATTGCCTTCACAGACATAATGCCATCATGTCTGACGATGTTAAACTGATCGATCTCTTCTGTCTTATTAGAGTGGGTGGGTCTATGAAACTATCTCTTCCAAGACAAAGATATAAAGGCCTCTCATATTTCATTTATCCCTAAATATCAGTGAGGGTTGCGGTGTGTGACCCAGCTGCTGTGAGATGTCCCCTTACATACTTTATTTCTATAAATTTTGAACTTATTTTTAAGTAGTCTTAT